CTCTCTCTCTCCCTCCCTCCCTCCCTCCCTCCCTCCCTCCCTCCCTCCCTCCCTCTCCCCTCCCCCCCCCTCCCCCCCCCCCCTCTCTCTCTCTCTCTCTCTCTCTCTCTCTCTCTCTCTCTCTCTCTCTCTCTCTCTCTCTCTCTCTCTCTCTCTCTCTCTCTCTCTCTTTCTTCCTCTCTCTCTCTTCCTCTCTCTCTTCTTCTTCTTTTTCTTCTTCTCCTTCTTCTTCTTTTCCTCATTTTCTTGTGATGAGTTTGTTCCGTCAAAATTATTTAGCTAAATTCCATTCATGCAGAAAAAATATCGACAGCTTGAATTATACTTTAAAATAAAACAAGAGCTGCCTTTGTGGATGTGAGAATAACGGATAAAAGGAGGAAAAAGAGAGAGGTGAAGAGGAAGACCAGCATAGTAAAAGAATGGGAAGCGAGGGAGAAGAGGAAACAGAAGAAATAACTAGTTAAAGAGATACAGAAAACAGGAAACCAAATATTGATAGAGGGAAGCAGAACAGAATGAGAGATGAGGGAAAGGAGATAGGAGTAAGGGGAATGTTAAGGGGAAGGAGAAAAGCGTAAAATAAACCTATCGAAAGAAGGAAATAGAGAAACAAGGAAGAGAAAACCCGAATTATAAAGAAGACAGAACAGAAAGAGGAGAAGGGGGTTGGGAGTCGAGTAAAGGGATAGAGGGGTCGTGTGAGGGGAGAGAAGGTCGTATTAGAGGGGAAGGGAGTCGTGTTAGGAGAGAGAGGGTGAGGGGAAGGGAAGAGGGGGGGGAGCTGAGGAGGTGCTGACTCAGGGACACCGAAGGAGGACGGATTTGCCGACGCGGAAAATGGGCTTCCTGTCGGTGCATGGCGGTTTCTGACGGGGTCGACGGCGGAGCTGAAGGCGGGAAAAGTCGAGAGATAAATGAGGGAAAGGAGGTGAGGAATGAACGAGGGAGAAGCGGAGGAGGGCGAGAAAGACTGATGAAAAGGTCGAGAGGTAAGGAAGGAATGAAGGAGAGGCGAAGAAGAATGTGTTTTAAATGCGCGAAGAAGAGCGAGGAAGAGGCGGAGAGGCAGAGAAGAAGAAGATTTTTTTTGGAGATGCGCAAAGAGGGAGTGAGAAGAGAGATTATTAAACAAACAATAAGGAATTAACGGAGGAAGATAAAAGAGATAAGATACGCAGAAGAGGAAGTGGAGAAAGGAGAAAAGAAAAACAGATACAGATATAAGTTATAAATAAATATATAAATATCGTAGTTAATTGAATTATTTTTTACTCACCTTTTTTCCCTTTTTTTCTGGAAAGGTCGCAATAAGGAGAGAATTTTCCTGCCAACGCCATATGATCCTTGTAGAAGATCTAATCATAGCTGTGTTGTCATCATGTTTTCCACGCCCGCGCCGTGTGGGCGGTAATGGCCTCAGAAATGTTCGTCGGTTCAATATATTCTTTTTCTCGACTGGAGTGCTCGCTGGCGGAGGGAAATTCGGGTACTATTTTCGTGGTGCTGAAGATTAGGAGGTATTAGACAGACGGACAGACAGACAGATATATGAAAGGTGAAAGAGGCAGATAGACAGACAGAAAGACATGGAAAATGAGAAAGACAGGCAGCCAGACAGATTCACTGAAAAAAGGGAAGGAAAGGTATAGAGAGAGAGAAAGAGACAGAGAGACAAATGGAAAGAATAAGAAAAAAGAGAACGGCCGAAGAGAGAGCAAACAGAAGAAATCGAAACAGAAAAAAGAGAGACGGTAGAAGGAGAGGGAGAGCGATGAACACCGATAAAGGAGGGAGTAAGAGAGAAGCGGAGAGAGAGAGACGGAGATCCATGAGGTCGGAGAACAGACATCAGTTGGTTCTTAATAGGGTCGTTAGCGTTCTGTAATTGCGAGAGGAAATGTCCTCTCTAACTTTATCTGCGCGACCGTGCAGGTTCCGAGTGAGAGCGGAAACTGGCAGGCTAGTTCATGAATAGCAATTAAGTAGCAGGAGACAGATTCCGCTATTAGTTAACACGACGATTATTTAGCCACCTGTGACCCCGTGCTCTGTCGTGGAATTTGGTGTTGGTGCTGTTTCCGGCAGCGCAGCTTGGAAGAAGTGCTGCAACCGCAGGCGGCAGTGACCTTGTCTCTGCCATAACAAAGGCAGTGACCTTGCCTCGGCCATAACAAAGACAGTGGCCTTGTCTCTGCCATAACACAGGTATTAACCTTGCCTTGGCCGTAGCAGAGGCAGTGACCTTGCCAAGGCCACAGTCCACCGGCAGCCGGTCGAGACGTCTTGACACCAGGCTAAATGATTCAAGTGCCTGGATGATGGAGCTGAACGCCATTCGGTGTCGCGTCGCGGATTACGACCTCGGTGGGCTTTGGCGGTCGTCTGACGGGACACGACCGGCGCGAGATGCGGTAGAGCAAGATCTAGAGTGACGGGGGACGAATCGCTTGTGCTGAGGTTGCGATCTCTCTCTCTCTCTCTCTCTCTCTCTCTCTCTCTCTCTCTCTCTCTCTCTCTCTCTTTCTGTCTTTTTCTCTCTTCCTCTCTCTTACTCTCTCTCTCCTCCCTCCCTCCCACTAAGTTACTCACTTGCTCTTGTACTCTCCCTCCATCCCTTTCGTGCGCTATGTCCTTCACCTTCTCTCCCTACTTCACTCACTCACTCATTTATTTACTCCCTCCTGTGTGCGTGTGTGTGTGTGTGTGTGAGAGAGAGAGAGAGAGAGAGAGAGAGAGAGAGAGAGAGAGAGAGAGAGAGAGAGAGAGAGAGAGAGAGAGAGAGCGAGGGGGGGGGAGAATGAGAGAGAGAAAGACAGACAGAAACAGACAGAGACAACTATGTTACTATTTGCAGGGTATGTATGTCCGTGTGCGAATGTGAATAAGGAGCTAATTTTCCCGCGTACGCCATATGACCCCCGTAGGAAATCTAAAGAGTCGTGAAGTCATCATAAATACGCATAGTGCGCACTGCATTTTGGTGAGCGTACGCAACTCAAGCGGACGTATTAACTGGCGTCATTATTTGAACGCAGAGTCATAAGACACGAGTCATTAACGCTGATTAACCTGTATAATTATTATGTGATAGCAAGTCCGTTGTTTTCATGATTCAAAAAAGCGTAAAATCCGCATGGGTGAACAAGATAATTTTCGGGCCTGAAAGTTTTGCGCATTTCGTTTTTTTGTGTTTTTTTTTTGTACGCTATTTTGTTGGGGATTCATATTTTCTCACGCTTTAGTGCATGCGATGATAAAGCTTGGTGTAAAAGCACTCTGCTGTGATATTTTGTGCTTAGATCTCGGCGGGAGAATTATTGGATAGTTAAAGCATCAGTGAACTGGGTTAGATGCGAGCTCGTTACGAAGAGAAATATTTCCCGGAGATGAATTTTATCTCTTTGATTCGTTAGTGTTTGGATTTTGTGTTTTGTTGTTCATCCGGGATATTTATATTCATATTAGGAGTGGTATTCGTGACCGGTATTAAGGCTCTGTCGTTTTATGATGCTGGATACGGTGTATATTCTCTCTCTTCTCTCTCTCTCTCTCTCTCTCTCTCTCTCTCTCTCTCTCTCTCTCTCTCTCTCTCTCTCTCTCTCTCTCTCTCTCTCTTTATCTCTCTCTCTCTCTCTCTATCTATCTATCTATCTATGTCTATCTATCTATCTATCTATCTATCTATTTATCTCTTTCTCTTTCTCGCTCTCTTCTCTTCTCTTCTCTTCTCTACACTGTCTCTCCCTCCCTTCCTCCCTCCTTCCCTCCCTCCCTCCCTCCTTCCTTCCTTCCCTCCTTCCCTCTCGCCCTCCCTCCTTCCCAACCACGCAAACGACACCATCTGTATCCATCCCCATCAACAAAAGGCATTGCCAGCGGTTATATATTTAACCGGGCATCTCTAAGTCACTGCTGTTTACCGGTCCGCAGTAATTAACGCCGGTAATTAACATATCGAGGCAGGTGTTTGACGCAGCTGACGTGGTGTCGGGGAGTTTGAATGGGCTGGGATAAACCGCAGTAGTTGTCACGGACGCCGCAGCAGTCGGGTGGCGCTGGCGGTCCTCGGTCAGAGTGCTTCGGTTCTCGCGTTTGTGGTTGTCGTGTGGTTGAGGCGGTGCTTTGTTTCGGTTAGGGGCTGGGGGATCTGCTGGCTGTTTATTTAAGGGTATGAGGGAAACGTGTTCGATTTACTGAGGGGATTGATATGCATACTCACACGCGCGCGCACACACACACACAAACACGCACACGCACACGAACACTCATACTCACACACACACGCATACTCACACACACTCTCACACACACGCACATACACACACATACGCACAGATACTCAAATATATTTACATGTGTACATGTATGCGTGTGTCTGTGTCTGTATTTTGCATATGTGCGTAGACACAGGGGAAATTCACTTAAGGTTTAGTTAAGGACCGTTATACTTACAAAACATGTGTTCAGATAGATGAAAAAATGAACTTGTCGTTATAACAAAATTTAGCTATATAGATTTACCTGTGTAACTACATTTTAATTAAATTAAGCATATAAACTTATCTCTACATAACTACATTTAACCATTTTTGTTTACAATATTCAAACATACAAACTTTTTATAGCGATATTTAACCAAACTGTATCGATCGCTATAACGAGATTTACAACTCGATTTCTCCCCGCTCCCCCCCTGCAGCTGGAGGACCAGAACGCCCACCTGCGGGAACAGAACGCCAAATGCAACGTCCAGCTGGAGCTCCTGAGGGGTCGCCTCGCCCACCTGTCCTCCATGCACAACGAGAAGGACCGTGACACCGAGGTATGTCCTCTTTCCTCTCTCTTTCTTTTTCTCTCCTCCGGTTATTCGTCTCTGCAATTTACCTTTCTCCTTTTCCTTCCCCTCGTCCCTTTCTCTCCTTCTGGTTGCCGTCTTCCCAATCTCCTTTTCCTCCTCCTCTTCTCTCTCTCCTTTTCCTCCTCTTCCCTCTTTCCTTTTCCTCTTCCTCATTTTTCCCTCTTTTTCCTCCTTCTCTTCCTCGTTTTCTCAGCGTCCTCCTTTCCCCCCTCTTGCTTTCTTCCTCCTCTTTTCCTTTTCCCCTTCCTCTTCCCTCTCTCTCTTTCCTCCTCCTCTTCCCTCTTTCCTTTTGTACCTCCTCTTCTCTCTCCCTTTTCCTCCTCTTCCCTCTCTCATTTTCCTCCTCTTCCTTCCTCCACGTCTTTCCATCGTCCTCTTCTTCCCCATCTTCCAATCGTCCTTCTCTTCCCTCTCTCTCCTTTTTTCCCTCTTCCTCTCGTTTCAACACGCTATCCCTCCTCCATGACCTTCGACCATCCACCCGCGCGGTCACAGTCGTTAGATAACAGCGGAGAGAGAGAACTGCGGCGCTCCTGTCCCTCTGCTGTCCGCTGTCATTGTCAGGGTATTTATTTTGCTGCGCCGTAAATCTCTAACACTGCCTCTCTCAATCACCTTTTCGGTACATTTTTTTTTCTTCCTTTTTGTTCTCTTCGGGAGAGACACTGCGAAACGGGAGGAAAGTGGGGGCTGAGATAAGCCTGCAACGGGGGTCCGGGAGCTCGTTGTTGTAAGTAAGCTCATTGGGGAGTTTTTGAGTTTTTTTGTTTCATATTGTTTGGTATATTTATTTGTTTTAGTAGGAGCTGTATAATCATTCTGTTCGGGAGATAAAGTAGAAGTCATTGCAGTTATACGCGGGGGATTTGGCAGTGTATTAAAAATAGCAGTGTCGTGATGTAGCGTCTGTGTTATGCCAGTTTAAATTACAGTCTGGCGTCTCTGTTTTGATCGAGACTAGGACAGCGAAGTGACACGTGAAACACTCCGGCGGCGTCGTGATCAGCCGGGTTATGTCATGGTCAAAGGAACCCATCCTCACCCTGCTCCCCCTTTCACCCCAAACTATGATCGTGTTCTCTGATTAGCCTAGATAGAGTAAGAGTACAGCATGTTCTTACATGTCAGAACAGCACAACTGTTGTCTTGCAAGTACTGTCTAAAACAGACTTGTTCTCCACATGATAAACAAACACACATGGACAATGATACAGCATATGGGAATGGCTGAGCTCCCCAGGTGTTCGCGGACCTCAGTCGGTGCTGAGTGGCCGCGCTGACCGGACGCTCAGTCTCCCTAGCGGCGCTGGGCCTCGGCAGTTAATCGACCCCAACACTGTCGAATCCAACCTCAAGGTGTAGGCCGTGACGTGACACCTCGCCGGGTCAAGAAGGTGAAGGTGGCTTCATGTGTAGCGCGCGAGATTCATTCTAATGATTAGCTCTCTGACTGTGGAACTGTTGTAGCTTATGCTATTTAGTATATTCGAGATGAATGCTAATGACCTTGTTATTATAATCTACATTGAATGAAAATCTATAGTTGGCATTGCTCTTTGTTGACTCCCTTGCAGAGGCCCAGAAACTGAACGGCCCCTTGCAGTCCACCTACTTCATGATTAGGAAGGCGTTCATGTTTGAAGTGCAACCGTATCAAGGCAGCATCAACTTTGCGAACTGCTTTTTCTCACCTTCTCTTGTTTCCTTGCCATTGCTTTGATATATATAATGTAAAGGAAAACAAAGTATCCCTAGCACTTGCATTGACCCCGAGCTAGACTCTTTAAACAGATGAAAGGGGCTGTTGTGCACTCTCTTAGATTTAATATATAATGGATCAACTCCTTCCCCTTGATGCCTCGTAGAAAGTTCAATTAAAGGGCCCAAAATCCCTCAAGTTTACCCCTGTGATTAAAGCTCAGAGTCCCCTGTTCCCCAATCTATCACCGTGGCTTCACCCCAGCTCTCCTTTCCAGCGGTTATGGAAAAGGAGGTCCCTAAGTCTACCTAAGGTATGGCGGCGCTGTCTGTGTGGTATTGCTTGAGTTGCTTTTTGAAGGGAGGGGCTTGTGGGAGGGGGGAGGGGGAAGGGATAGGCCGGGCTGAGGGGTGTGGAAGGAAGAAAATGCTTTACACTCTGTTAGCATTCCAAGGCATCCCGAGACGCTGGACTAGAATGACCAAGAAGCCACAAATCACATTCAACTTTCTTGTCACCCTTAATTCTTGAACGTGTCCGATTGTGAAGGAATGTCTTGGAAGGAGAAGAAGAATAAGCGCATTTTCACACTGCACTAACACCAGCTTACATATTCCTCTTTTGGCTTCTTTAACTGCTGTAAGCCTGTTTAATATCATCATTTGTTTTCTTAATTTCCTTTGCTCGAACATATACTTGCAAAATCTGATACTCTTGTCCGCGTCCCCAAACTAAACGGTCTTGTCTTTGCATCACGTACTTTGTGTTCCATGTATGCAAGAGGTGGTTCATTATTTGCCTTTTTACTTTAATTTTTTTAGTTTTGGTGTTCGGGGCCTTCAAGGGGGTCGTTCGTTCAAAGCAGATGACTCCTCGGATCCACTTATTCCCTCAGGAACGACTCGAAAACTGATCACGGAGACGACCTCGTTTTAGGCCTCCGCGCGCGCTCTCTCTTGGCGGGCTGGCGTGACGTCATCAACGCCAAAAACGCCGGGCCGCCGTTGATGTCGTAAAGGGAGAGACGTTATGCACTTCCATAAGATCAGATCTGCGCCGCGACGTCATCTGTTTAAATGAACGGCCCCCTTGTGGCGAGAAGGGGAAGCTTGGAGTGGAGGGGGGAGGGGGGAGGGGAGAGGGGAGAGGGGAGAGGGGGATATGATAGGGAGGTGATTGGTGTCGTGGGAGGAAGTCAGGTAGGAGACGACCAGGAAGGAAATAGTTGCTGAGTTATGGATAAGAGAGAAAGGGGAGGGAGGAGGAAGGAGGGAGCTAGGGAGAGGAAGAAGTGCTCTCTCTCTGTGCAGTGAAGTGATGTGAAAGTTGAGGATCTAGAGGTGTAGGTAGAGCAAAAGAGTCAGTAAAATCAACTGCTTATTGGAAAGGATAGGGAAAATGCAATTGTTAGCATAGTTCTGTAGAGAGATACATACATGCAACATACATTTATATATGTGTAGGTATACATACATACATATATGTGTGTGTGTGTGTGTGTGTGTGTGTGTGTGTGTGTGTGTGTGTGTGTGTGTGTGTGTGTGTGTGTGTGTGTGTGTGTGTGTGTGTTCGCGCCAGGGTGTATATATGTATATGTCCCTGTGGATGTCTGTGTGTGGAAAGTAGATAAATAAATTTGAATAATACAGATATATAGGCATTTTAGCATTTAATAGATTTGAAAGACACATATATATATAGGCAATTTAGTATTAAATAGATTTGAATAATACAGATATATAGACATTTTAGGGGAGAAGGGGTCACAACGCGAGCAGCTGGTTCTTCACGAAACGTAAAAGCTGAATGTTTCCTTTTCCTTATGATTTCGGTGTTGTCCAAATTCCTTCCTTCCTGTCGCATGTCTACGTGTGTGTCAATGCTCATGGATGTACTTACACATTTATATGGTTGAACATTATCTTATGATTTTTTTTTTTTCTTTTTAGATTTTTTTCTCTTTTTGGTTAAATTGCTGTGTGGATGGTTAGTTTTATAAGGACATTCATAGCATTTTTTGTGTCATATTTTAATGGTTTACTAGGTGGCAGATAGTCGTGTATGCAAATCACCTTAGTGGTAAATTAATACTTATTATTTATGGTTATTAATGTTTTATACTAAGAATATATAACTGTAATATATACTACAATTGTTTCTTCCAGTGTTGATTACTTTAGGAGGTTAATGTTATTATTATTGATAGTCTTACCATGAGTTTTACTAATGATATTAGCATTCTGTTTATTATTATTGCTACGATTGATATAGTTATTAGTGTTATTACTTTTATTAATATCAGTATTATTGTGTTTCGTAATAGCAATGTTATTATTGTGCTTTTATTTTCATTATTTATCATTATCATTGATATCATTAATATATTTATACTTAATGACAGTACTGATATGGACTTTATTATCTATTATTGTTATCACCATCATTTTTGTCTTCACTATTATCATTGTTTCTCACAGTTGCATTATTTTCACCGCAATTATTTTTTTGTTGTTTTTGGTATTACTGACGCTATCATGTCATTACTATCGATAACATCGATAAATGGCATTTATTTCACAATATTTTATGTGTGTAACATCTTCAAACTTCCAAATCGTTGTCATATTTCTTTCCCAAGTTCTAATGTTCTTAAACCCTTCTTATAGAACGTTTATAGAGTACACCAATACACCTTAACACTGTACTGTAGATCAGTGACACTTTGCAGTGTTACCACAACACATGTACTTGATATTATACGTCAGTTACACACTAGCACAGTGCACATTGCATATACATATTGCATTTTGTATGTGCACAGTAGTTCGTTATCGTGCTTCCAGTCAATCTTTGTTCCTTGATTTTGATTGATTAATGTATTATTATTTCAAAGTCTTGAATTATCACTGTTACACAATTTACAGACGGATTTTGATTAGTGTATCCAATTCAGTATTATTAAATCGTCTTGATTGTGCCGTTTGTTTTCACTCGTTTCAACTCTTCGCTGTAGTTCATGTCTAAGATGGCGGTCTCTCTGCCTCCGTTTCGTTCCTGTGTCGTTGCGGTATTTCTGTTTCTGTCTTTGTCTAGATTTGATTATTTTGTGTTCTCTCTCTCTCTCTCTCTCTCTCTCTCTCTCTCTCTCTCTCTCTCTCTCTCTCTCTCTCTCTCTCTCTCTCTCTCTCTCTCTCTCTCTCTCTCTCTCTCTCTCTCTCTCTCTCTCTCTCTCTCTCTCTCTCTCTCTCTCTCTCTCTCTCTCTCTCTCTCTCTCTCCATCTCTCCATCTCTCCATCTCTCCATCTCTCTCTCTCTCTCTCTCTCTCTCTCTCTCTCTCTCTCTCTCTCTCTCTCTCTCTCCCTCCCATTTATATATTGTTCTTCTGTTTTCATTTCTCTCTCTCCTTTGCTCTGTTTACCCTCCATCATTTGTTTTCATAGGTTATGAATTTACATAATTTAAGTGATGACTCATATAACACTCTTTTGAATAACAGATAAGCAAATACTAACCCCATCCCCATGAAACATCTCTCTCCACATCCTTATAATGCGAATATCCATTAACCCGCATCTTATATAAAGTGGAAAAGTGTAGGATGGAGGATGAGCCTTGTCGCGTCCCTCTCCCCCCATCGCCATCCTCCGCCGTCCCCCTCCTACACTTTGCCGCTCACTCGCCCTCCTCCCCCCCTCTCTGACGTGTCCCTCTCCCGTAGGATTCGTCGCGTGGGAGTTACGAAGGAGATCGACCCGACAGCGACGAGAGCCTGCACGACGGCCGGAACGACGTAGGCTACATCCCGTCCCGACCTGCTACGCTCGGGAGGGACCGCCGATCCAAGTCCAGGTGGGGTTTTGTTAAGTCTGTTGATTTTTTTCTTCTTCTTCTTCTTTTTCTTTTTCTTTCTTTCGTTGTTTCTCTGTTTATCCTCTCTGTTTATTTCTCTCTCCTTGATCACTTGTTCTCTTTCCTTTTCTCTCTCTCTCTCTCTCTCTCTCTCTCTCTCTCTCTCTCTCTCTCTCTCTCTCTCTCTCTCTCTCTCTCTCTCTCTCTCTCTCTCTCTCTCTCTCTCTCTCTCTCTCTCTCTCTCTCTCTCTCTCTCTCTCTCTCTCTCTCTCTCTCTCTCTCTCTCTCTCTCTCTCTCTCTCTCTCTCTCTCTCTCTCTCTCTCTCTCTCTCTCTCTCTTCTCTCTCTCTCTCTCTTTCTCTCTCTCTCTCTTTCTCTCTCTCTCTTTCTCTCTCTCTCTCTCTCTCTCTCTCTCTCTCTCTCTCTCTCTCTCTCTCTCTCTCTCTCTCTCTCTCTCTCTCTCTCTCTCTCTCTCTCTCTCTCTCTCTCCCTCTCACTCTCACTTTCTACCTACAGTCGATCGTTTTATTAAGAATGTATTCACGTTGTCTTTTATTACTGTTTGTATTTGAATTTGTATTTTTGAGCCCGAATTAGAATCGGTGTTAAAATCATGGCCGAAAATGGCCCACCAAAGCGTTGGGTTCCCTGCAAAGTATCTGGCAGCGTGGCGTTTGCACGTAAGCAGCGGCTGCAGTCAGGTGTAAATAATGGAGGAGCTGACCTTTTTGAGTGATGTTCCTCTGTTCCGTCCCCAAAGGTCCCCCGCCGGCCTGAGAAGAGCCAGCTCGAGCGACACGGACGCCAACTACGGCGAGATCCGCTTCAAGTCCCGCCACAACGGCGTGCCCCGCACCGGCGGCCTCGAGAGGAAGCGCTACGACGACGAGAAGATCCGGACGCGGGACTCGCGCGTGGACTCCGGCTCGGTGGACCTGGAGACACCCCAGAGCCTCAGCCCCAAGAGCCCCCTGGAGGTGATGCTCAACAGCCTGACGCAGAGCACGGGCAGCCTCCCCAGGAGCGGGTCGCGCGCCGGCAGCCGAGGGGAGAGCCCGCGCAAGCCCGTCCCGCAGCCCAGGACCAAGCACCTGAAGAAGGGCGGTAGCCTGCAGTCCTCCGTGACCAAAAGCGCCGACAGCCTGGACCTGGAGCTAGACGGCTACGACAACACGGAGAGCACGGACTCCAGCCAGCTCGCTCGCTCCGGGGATAGCCACCTCAGCGACGACGGCAGGAGATCGCGCGCCAAGGACGAGGCGCACGACTACAGCGAGATCTACACACCCAGCCGCGACCACGCCCGCTGGCCCGGCGACTCCGAGACCAACGGGGAGAAGCCGCCCACGCCCCCGCTCCACCGCTTCCCCTCGTGGGAGTCCAGAATATATCAGGTGAGATACCAACACAAGTTTTTCTTCCCTTCCTTATAATATGATTTGGGAAGACTTACTTATCATTATAGTAAAAATCTAGGCTTATTAGCTTAAGACTGACCGCCATTGTGCCTCACAGGTCGCTCAGGAAGGCCTCTCGGGCTCCGGCGCAGCGACCACTGCCGACACGAGCGCCCGCATGAGGACTTCCGGGCTGGGCAGCTACCCCGAAATTCACGTGCCGGTTTACGCTGCGGTGAAAGGCGTAAGTAGCTCCGGTCTTTCCTTGTCTGTTTGCAAAAAGGAGTTTTGTCTGGCTATTATACATCGAGAGCTGTGAAGTCTTCTATATTTGTGCGTGTATGAGAGAAAGTGAGTGAGTAAGTGAGTGAGAGAGAATCAGCGAGTTAGTCACAAATGATAATTAAAGCCTCCATTCAGCCTCTACATGCGTACACACATACACACGCATGTATAACACGAAAAGTGCGAGCAAATCATCCAGCATATTACCCATAACGCCCGAGTTAATTTCCAGTAATTAATGGAATTAGAAAATTAACGTTGGATCCCGAGTTGTAAAACCGGGCGGGTGAAATCGGTAAGACATTGACTTAATGAGGCGAGGAGATGAGGCGGATAATTCGCTCTGACAGGGAAACAAGGGACCTGTCAGAGGACCCTCAGTGCGCCTCGTCCCCGCGCCCTTGTCACTGCCACCTGCGCCGGTGCCACGGGGCCAGCACTCGCATGTTACGCTCTGACACTTAACTCACTCACTGTCTTTCTTTCCGCGTCTGTCTCTCAACAAATAACAAATTTCATTATACGCGAACAAAAAAAGTGAAATCCAATGACACATTCCCAGAATTAAATATACTGCGTCATACTTGGCCATATCGCTTCGCTTTTGCACCGTCAAACCAGCAAGCAGAGACGTCCCCATCCGAGGGGTTGCCGGGAAGGGGCGCCGTCGAATGCAGTTGCCATAGAACGTTCCAGGCAGAGACAGGGCGGGTGGCGGGTTGCGTGTCGCTGGTCCTTCAGCTAAGCGGCGGCTCACAGCGTCAAAGTGACTGCCATTGTGGCCTCGGGAATCGATTCCTATATTACCGTTCGCGGCGGCAGGTCGGAGTAGGTCCTCCTGGGTCCTGGCAGGTCCCTCTACTCCGCCGCGGTACCAGTGGCTGACCTGGAAGGCCTCCCATGGGCGCCGGTGACGGAGACTCGCTGCTGGTATTGATTTTAAAAAAGTCTCTTGAGATTATTCACTTTATGAACAGACGATCTTGTTAATAAGTGTCAAGATAACTAGAGAACAAAGGCTTAATAAAATTTAAGAGCATCGGATGTAAAGAACTGACTTCATCACCGAACAGATTCTCGCAATCTTCAAGATTTTCATTAAGGTGACATTAGTAAAGGAAATTGAAACACGGTTTTTCATAAGGATCGCTACTTGTAAAAAATGTCGACGTCTATGAGACTGTTCTGACGATCTCCATTAGTTAGCAGCCGGAGACAGTCACGGCGTGAATTTCTCTTGCCATTTCGTCCGAGATTGCGAGGAGACACGGACGCGCACGTGGGGGGGGGGGGGGGTCGCGTAGATTGTGATTCGCTCATCATTTTCGTAGATTTCGGTGATTGCATTCATACTGGATGAGGATTTTGTGATTGGGTGGCGTTCGCTCTTCTGTGGGAGTTCATGGAACGGATGCTGTAGATTTTGAGCGTTCTGTAGGGTCTAAATAAACTGCTGTGCTTATTCAAAATCATACAATCGTTGATTTCACATCTCACACAGTATCTTTAAGCTTTGCAATCAAAAACAATATTGAGAAAATACCCACGTCCATCATCAGTACGCAGCGACACCCGTAGTGTTGACGGCACAGGACCTTGCAGAGCGTGCAGACCGTGTCACCTATCGGGGAGAGATCAGGCCCGGATATTGGGTTTAGTTCATGCCATTACCATCACTTCGGCTTGACAGTCGGCAGCCAGGCGTCGCGACCCCCCTCGCCTACATCTTATCTGTTCACGCACGCTCGCGGGAGACGGCGAATATGCTAACGTAGTTGAGCCACGGACGCGAGCCTGAGATATGATGCCCCTTGAATGTGGAGGCTTTATTTGCATCCTGATGGGGGCATCGGGCGGGGAAATCGGGCTGACGCTCATGTTCGTAAGCCGGGGTTCATGAGGTTCAAGCGGACAGGGAAACTTGGATTACGGAAAGATGGGAGTTATATATATATATATAGATAGATAGATAGATAGATAGATAGATAGATGGACAGAAATAGATATAGATATATAGATACATATATATAATATTATATTATATTATATTATATTATTTTTTTTATTATATTATATATAAAGGTTACGCAGCAGATCTCTCCGACGCCTATTTTGTGAATAATGTTGGCCTTGCATGACCATCGCGTGGCTACTGCCTCGGTGAAAATAGATCATTTGTGTCTCGTGAGATACGAAGAGAGCGCAAGACTTTTAGGGGGAAACTGTCATTAGTTGTGAATCAGAAGAAAGCTTTCTCCTACCCATTTTTTTACCTTTCTTTTCCCCTCTCCCCCCACCCTTTCCTTTTTTTTTTGTACTGAGAAATTTGACGCTCCGCTACTTTTCTCATTTTCGCGCCCGCCGCCAAACGAGAAGATTCACTGGTCCGCAGAACGCATTCCTTTGATAAGCGTCGCGGAGGAAGTCAGGCGAGCAGCCCTTAATGTGGCACAGGCAGAGGATATTGCAATGTGGCACTCACTTACCCATGGTAGAGCGACGCGCCTGGGGAAAGCCTGGCGTGTTAGAGAGCGAAAAACAGGTGTGTGTGTGTGTGTGTGTGTGTGTGTGTGTGTGTGTGTGTGTGTGAGAGAGAGAGAGAGAGAGAGAGAGAGAGAGAGAGAGAGAGAGAGAGAGAGAGAGAGAGACAGACAGACAGACAGAGAGAGACAAGCATATAGAAAAAGAGAGTTTTTGTCTGCCCGTCTGTGTGGGCGTACGTGACATAAATCTGATGTTTACCTCTCCTTCGGCCCTAGTAATGTCTCGCCGTTCTCTCCCACAGCGTGCCAGCCAGATCCGGTCGGTGCCGTTCACGGGCGACTCCTCGGACTCGTCAGACGGCGAGGACCACTGCGGGGGCTCAGACTCCCGCGGGCTGTCGTCCCACACGCCCTCGTCCTCGGCTGAGTCCTCTTCCAGTTCGCCCTCGAAGAGCAAGACGTCGTCCCTGTCCCCGGCCAAGTTGTCGGGTTCGTCGCCCTCCAAGAGCATGAGAAGGGGTAAGTGGGAGAGGGGGGGCGGTGGCGAGGGGAGGCGGGGGGCAGAGCTTCCGGCGCCCTGCGAGGGGACGTCCGCCGCAGGGGAAGGCGCCAAGGTGGGATCGCACACGCACACGCACACGCACACGCACACGCACACGCACACGCACACGCACACGCACACGCACACGCACACGCACACCCACACACACACACACACACACACACACACACACACACACACACACACACACACACACACACACACACACACACACACACACACACACACAGAGGAGGCACACGCATAAAAGCAATCAAGTCACGAGAAAGTCACGTTATGAAACGGAAGCTTTAGAAGCAGCGCGAACCTCGGTACGAATTCCCAGCTCTGAAAATGGGCCAATGGAAGGGCCACACTTTGTAATGATGATTGATTAAGCAGAATAAGTAAAGGGCGCTGGGCTTTACGTTTCGTGCATGTTGGTGTACAAAGAGGCATGGCAAGCATTAACCCTGCATGCGAGCGATGTCAGTACCTCGGTGTTTTTTTCTGTCTCTTAGATTCATCAATATTCTTTTTTTTATCTTAGGGTTTAAGGGGTCTCGCAGCCCCTCAGAGATATGCAAGTAAGGAGGCAGCATCGCTTTCTGACAGCCTGTGTAGTTGGCAAGGAACGAGTTACGGGGATGAATGAACCTCACTCACAATAGGGATGGGCGTGGTCTTGAGGGAATGGCCTTCTCCCTTACTCCTTTCTTTGTCTGAGTCGCGGGGGCAAGGGCATGAGTGATTGAGCTATGGATTGTGTGGGTGGGTGGAGTTGAGAGTGAGAGAGAAAGAGAGAGAGAGAGAGAGAGAGAGAGAGAGAGAGAGAGAGAGAGAGAGAGAGAGAGAGAGAGAGAGAGAGAGATTCAGACAGTCAGTCAGCCATTCAGACAGAAAGACAGAGACTGTGAATGTGTCTATCTATCTGTGTGGGCTTGATAGATCGAGTTTGAGATTGCCTGTATCTATATAGGAGAGTGATTGAAAAAGTGAGGATCCTTGAGGGAGACTGAAAGTTTCTTATGAGTCAAAAGCAGGGAGGGAGAGAACAAGGCAAGTTTGTCGCCTGAAAGTCTTTTAATACTTTGCTCAACAGCTCCTCCACTTCACTTACATCTGGGTCTGGACATTTTCACTGTAAACCCACTATACAATGTGTCAGGTGATTTGCATGGATATAATATATGTATTTTTTTCAATGCACAACATATATTCATATAGAGTTAGAAGCATTCATTCTGCTTTGTATTTTATTTATAACCACCATTATGTTATTTTTTTTTAAGTCATCTCCTTTTACCAAGACACATAGGAGATTGCTTCTTACTAGTTAGCGCACTTTTTTTTGTTAAGTTCGCTATGTGCTCTTATTTCACAGATAGCAGTCGTTTATCCCAAGATTCAGGAGACTATGCTGACTATGCCATCCCGCCAGATGCTATGCCAGATGCTATACCAGACGCTATACCTACCCTTAAGCTACCGGGTTTGTTATAATTAACTTTTTTTTTTTTTAGTTACATTTATTTTTTGTAGAGTCTGCCTCGTGTACGTAATGGACAGGTAAGGCATGGGTTTGCTGTATTGGTAGTGTTAAATATATTTCTAAGAATGTGTGTGTGTGTGTGTGTGAGTGTGAGTGTGAGTGTAAGTGTAAGTGTGAGTGTGAGTTTGAGATTGCCTGTATCTATATAGGAGAGTGATTGAAAAAGTGAGGATCCTTGAGGGAGACTGAAAGTTTCTTATGAGTCAAAATCAGGGAGGGAGAGAACAAGGCAAGTTTGTCGCCTGAAAGTCTTTTAATACTTTGCTCAACAGCTCCTCCAGTTCACTTACATCTGGGTCTGGACATTTTCACTGTAAACCCACTATACAATGTGTCAGGTGATTTGCATGGATATAATATATGTATTTTTTTCAATGCACAACATATATTCATATAGAGTTAGAAGCATTCATTCTGCTTTGTATTTTATTTATAACCACCATTATGTTATTTTCTTTTAAGTCATCTCCTTTTACCAAGACACATAGGAGATTGCTTCTTACTAGTTAGCGCACTTTTTTTTGTTAAGTTCGCTATGTGCTCTTATTTCACAGATAGCAGTCGTTTATCCCAAGATTCAGGAGACTATGCTGACTATGCCATCCCGCCAGATGCTATGCCAGTAGTGTGATTGTGAGAGAGAGAGAGAGAAGGGGAATTAGTGGGAAAGAAAGTTAATGTGTGTTATTTGTTGTCAGTGATTGTTAGATTTTTTCTTTTAGTTTCATTTGGATAATTTATTCACCGTGATGGTCTGTTTGCATGTACGTATGTGATCCATTCTCACCAAGAGCACCCATGTTACTTTTTGTCCATGGTTTTTATTGCTGAGCTATTGTCAAAAGGAATTCCTCAAGAAGACCTGTACTCCAGGGATTGCTTGAAGTGATCAGTAACCCAAAAGAGACTTTCAAGATGTTTAGAAAATTGATATAACTAAATGGACAAGAAAAAATGTAGTATGCCCTCACTTGCTGTACAGTCTTACCAAAGGTGTGAAATATGCACAAAGAAGGACCAAGTTGTTAGATGCTGTAAGAAGTCCCCTCTTTGTAAAGTTTTGTATATTTTGAAAGTTTTATTACTCCTCCCTCTTCCAGACACTTCCTTTGAGTCTGGCGTGTCTGATGACTACGCAATTCCACCAGATGCTCGGAGTGACAGTGGGTCTCTGGAGTCAACTTTAGCTCCCACCACTACGAGTGCAAGGACGTCATGCGTAGAAACCACAACCAACACACTTACCTCAAGCCAGTAAGTTATATGTACTACTGCATATTCATCAGTTTTGTTGTTATTATTATCTCATTTGTTCCATCTGCTTTTTTTTTTTTTTTTTTTTTTTTTTTTTTTTTTTTTTTTTTTTTTTCAAGCTTCTTTTATTGTGGGTGATATATGTGAACACGTTATTTAAAAATACATGTAAGATAGTGATAGATAGCTCTGATATACAGATAGAGATCAGAGTTTAACTGTTTGTAATATCTTTTAAGGCAAGCTTCATCAAATATTTCTTTGCAGCTCATTATGGTTTGTATTTATAATATTTCCTTTTTAAGAATTTTATTGCCCCAGGTTAGATACAAGTTCTGCATAATATATATCCAGATTGAAGTAAAATTTGTGTGCAGCTGCCATTCACAAGGGAGCATATCTTTATATTTGCCATTCCTAGTTACATAGTTTTTGACATCCCTCTTCACTCCACAGCATTGGCACTGTGTCACCCCGCCGTGAGAGTTCATTGGAGAAGAATGGATACCTGACAAAACTTGGTGGGAAACTGAAAACTTGGAAAAAACGATACTTTGTTCTTAAGGATGGAACCTTAACCTACTGGAAGAGTCAGGTCTGTAAAACATGCTTTTGAGACTTATTTCATCCTTATAACTATCTGTTGCATTTTGGTGACTTTGTTGGCTTCCTTGAAAAGGAAGTGGAAGAAACAGAATTCATATCAGAATTAATAGAATTAGGATACATTTTATTCCAATTTTCCAACAGAGTGATATACACCGAAAGCCAGCAGGTCAAATCACCCTTAATGAAGTCTGCCGTGTTACCCGATCTGAAGGGGCACACACCTTTGAAGTCAATACAGGCAAGAAGACCTACTACCTCACAGCAGACAATACTGCTTTGGTTGAGGACTGGGTTAGAGTTCTCCAGGTAAGTTGCTATAGAATAATTTCTCACTCTTTTTGTAAATGAACTCTACATTGTATGAAGTGATATTTCAATAGCTAAGAATATTAAACAAAAATAGAATTGAATATCAAGAGGATAGTCATAAATTATTGTAATCTTTCTAGAATGTGTTGCGACGCAATGCCACAAAACTCCTTCTGAGTAAAGAAGACAACAAACCAACCATACAAGGATGGCTGACAAAGGTGAAGCACGGCCATGCTCGCCGCTGCTGGTGTGTGCTTATTGGTAAAATGTTCATCTATTTCAAGAGCCCTAATGATCAGGTATGGACTTTATTTCATTCCTTCTTTTCTTTCTTTTTCTTTCTTGCTTTCTTTCTTTTTCTTTCTTGCTTTCTTTCTTTTTTTCTCACAGAAAAGTACTGCTTTCTTAAAATCTTAATGAAGGTTTAGAGGAAAATTATCATAGAATACAGTTATGATGCACTTTTTTATATAGATCATTTCCTTTGAAAGGTCTGTTTAATAACCATTTAATCATGACAATATTTTTTTTCTATGCTCTTAGAAAGTACAGTTATGTATTTTCCATTAAGCAGTCAAGACTAGTTGAACAACGTGTATACTTTTTGGTTTCCAGAATCCTATTGGTCAGATCAATATGAGGGATGCCCGTGTGGAGGAGGTTGAAAAGGTTTCTGATTCTGAAGGGGACGACCCTGCTGATGATGAAACTCCCAAGGAGGATCTGACAATTGGTATATTCCCATCACACCAAGGTCCAACATACCTCATTATGCCCAATAAACAGGATAAGGTAGGTTTTCTTCTGATTGCATTATCAAAGAAGACTTGCACTAGGATAAAGTAACCAGAGCATTGAAGTAAATGCTTCATTGTTTTCTTTAATTTTTTTTCTCTTGAGATGTGTGAAAGTATTTAGATTTTTTTTTTCTACAGGATCCATGTATGGTGTTAAATTTATGATACATATTCTGCTGTCTGTAAAGCTAATAGAAAGTTTATAATACTGGCACAACATTTGATGGCAATTCTATATTTCTTTCAGGATGGTTGGTTATACCACCTGACTGTAGTATCTGGAGGAGGTCCTAATGCAGGAACACAGTATGAGCAGTTAGTTCAGAAACTGATGGAACTCGATGGTGACCCAAGTAAGCACATAATTTTATGTTGTTCTATATTAAATTGTCTATTCTTTTTTGTATCATGCTAGAGAAGTGTGATGTATATACATCTGAAACAAATAGAAATGTCCTCTGTTTTAGATAACTCTACTTTGCTCCTTGTAACAGATTGCGTGTTGTGGAGGCACCCTCTGCTCCTACACAGCAAAGATCCCATCACCTCTCCCTTGACCTCTCTCCCGTCCTCCCAGTTGCAGGCTGAGGCTATCAAGCTGTTCAAGGTTTGTTATCCATAGAATAGGTGATATATCTCCCTCTGCTAACTGATGTGTTTAATGATTCAAGATATTTAGTTGAAGTTTGTGGGTTCAAACAAAATTATTTTCAAAGTTAATGACGAATATAGGGATATGTCTTCTTATTAATACATCTGCTAATGCTTTTGTTCTCTGACAGTCTTGCCAGCTGTACACCTCTGTGCTCATGGACTCGTCGGGTATAGATTACCATGTGGTTCTGTGTCAGAATGCTCTCCAGCAGTGCCTCACATACCCTGAACTACAATCTGAACTCTTCTGTGGACTCATCAAGCAGACATCGAAGCACCTGCAAGCTAAGCCAGGGGTCCAGGTAACCAAGACACTGAACAAAATCAAGCACTCCCGAGTAAGTGTGTCTGCTTTATGTTGCAATGGTCTGGTGGATCAGCGATGTCACTTAGATAAACGTGTTAGATGTGTCAAGTGATATCAGCCATAATTTAAAGTTCTTTTAAGCTTTCTACCCTCTGTCTAGGGGGGTAGAAAACAGCACTGATATTTTTATGCATATAATGGCTGACAAAACTTGACTTTATACTTTTCAGATTTTTTTAAAGAGCATAATAAGAGTTAGATTTTTTAGTAATACATAGAGTCTTTCATTGCCATGTAACCTTTGCTGTTTGATTTCGTTTACCCATCAGACTTTTGTCATCCCATATATGATTTAAAGTAATTTCACTGTTGTTATAGTACTTTACTATCTAAGGTACTAAATTTACTTTTAAAAAATGCTTAGAAACAAATGAAAGAATTATGAAAGTAAATGGGATGACAGCTGCTTATTAGATATTAGTCATCAGAGAGAGAAAAAAAATTATACCCTAAACTTAAGTTACATTTTGTTATGTTGGGGCTGTCCTGCTTTAGCCAAGGAATGCAACCTACCCATCACCTCACACATACACAGTGCTTGTTCTATCAATGTTACAGAAACATTACAGCATCAATACATTCACAGCTATGTATAGCCATGTGCCACAGAATATGCAACATGATGTTACTGCGATCTTTTCACCTCCTTAGAAACCATAGCAAAGTGCAATATTGTTTACATTATCCATAAACTTGTGCATGGTTTAAAATATCACTTGCCTGATGTATGTCTCTTATCTGTCTCCATCAGAGTTATTTCTTTAAATCCATTCCAAATTCTCGTTTAGTTTCTCATGTTATGTTCTCTTTTTTCCCTTCTTTTCCTTCTTCTTCTTCCTTTATTTTTCATTAGTGCACCAGATTTGTGAGCCAGTGTGAGTTTTGTCTGTTAGTTGGGACGTATAAAGACTTGTCCTTTCTGCATCCTTCCCTTGTAAAATGTTTAAGAAGCTTTAATTGAAGAGAAATTGTCTTTCATAGCAGCAAATTGGCTCAACTGTAATCACAGGTATGACTGTTTCAACCGGGAAATTACGTGGTTAAGCCTTCAGTGATGGAATGGAGAAAAATTCACATGTTATAAGTGTCTAATAATTACTTCAGAGTTATGTGTAACGTCTCTGTTAATGTGATTGTACATAAGATTACGTAAGACTTGAGTGTATTATGTGAGGAACGATTATTAGAACTGAGGTATATGTTGTAGGTTTCATTTACTTGTAATACTTGTACAGTGTCCAATCGTCACCCCAAAGGAACAGTATATAAGCACAAATATTGTCATGATAGCATTCCTGTGACTGAAGTGTGAGTTATATTTATGCCGTCATTATATGTATTATTGCCCAACCCCCCCAAGAAATAATGACATACTTCCATATATTATAAAAGTAGAGACACTATTAGTAGTTTATGGATTTTAATACCATATGCACAAGAACAACAACAGAATGTTATGGTTAACATCCTACATATTGTTCCTTTATGATTTAAAAGGAATCTTGTGTAAGTTAGCTCTACAGCCTTGAGTGATTATTTTGAACAGTACTTTTAAGAACTGTGTACGAACCAGTGGAATGTTCAAGTTACCAGATCTAGTTGAAAGTTATTATTTCCATTTCTGTATTTGTAGAGTGACAGCTGAAAACAGCCAAGATGTGTTTAGGTAATTTAAGACTCTCTTGCTGCCTTTTTATGATCATCATACATTCATTGAATTTGTATTAAACATCTAGTCTTTCAGAATCACTCAAACATGTAAATCAGTGAAACCAACACTGTGATAAGAGTATTAAGTGGTCCTGGCTTGAGATTAAAGCTAACCCTCTTTTGAATGTCTAGTTGTAAACTTGCTCTTTCTAAAACTGAGTGAATATCAAAGGAAGTGGAAGCATTAAGCTAAGACTTGTATACTATAATAAGTTGACAGATCTAATTAATAAGTTAAGATAAGGGAACTATATACAGAGTTTGCGGAGGTAGAGTACCTTGTCTAACCTCAATGCAGCCAAACCTATCATATGCTAACTAGACCCAACTTCATCCAATAACCAAATATGTTGATAACCAGACTTAAAGCAAACTGTATTCTTACTAAACCCACCTGTATATCTTTGTAATCCCATTTTACTTTCCCCTTAACAATGACCATGCGAGTTGCCAGTGAATCTCTTCTTAAGATGGTCCCTGAATAAAGGAGTTATGAAGAGTTCACAGGGAGCTCTCAAAATGAGCAGGTGCCCCTTGCCTTTTTCATGTCCCAGTGTTTTAACTAATAGAATATTTATTGTCCTTAAGCTAAAGCCCTTAAATGATGGACCTAAGAAAACAGTTCATTTAGGTATTAAAAAACAGAATGAATCTGTTAAAGAAAGTACACATTTAGTTAAGGTTGCAGTTAATTATATTAAATTCAGTTTGCAATATTTTCATTTGATTAGCCCAGTGCATGGTTGGCTGTATATCTAGATAAAATATTTTTATGGGTGCATTGTGCTATAGTATATATTATAGGTGGAAGGAATGGCCTAGCAATGTTAGCAAGCTTTAGGGAAGGATTTATAATGACAGTTGATGTGTTTTTTATGTATGAATAAGAACTGATCATTCATAGGAAATGTCTAGGCTTTTACATATAATGATTATTATGAATATGTGTGAAAAGTCAGATAATATGCAAATGCATATTTGGCTCCATACTTAATATAGTTTTTCTTCTTTTGATTTAGGTAAAAGGTATCTGAAATCCTCAGAAAACTGTAGCTTTTAAAGTTCTTTTCCCATATAGTTATTTTCTGGCTACTGAAACTTGACCCCAGTTTTGCTGACATTTTAGGAGCATACAGCATAGTGATGTTAAGATTAAAGAAAAAAAGAAGGATTTCCAATATATTTGGTACTGTGTATTTCCCTTTATTGTGTTCGTAGCTTTATATTTTTTTGTGATATCCATTACATGTACAGATTTGTAATTGAGAGCACAAGGTTTATATTTAGATACTATAAGTTATTGCACATTTTATTTCCATGTATCAGGCCTTCTAAGCTGCCCTCCTTATTTTTCCTCTCACAAAGCCTAAAACTTGCTTGTCTGTATTTTCTTCTTTGTAAAAAAAAATAATAAAAAATATTTGAATTTACAATGATTAGAACTACATAAAGTGTCTGACTCTTTACACTTTCACTGATCCTCTACTAAAGGGATAACTTCTATTACTTACTGTCATCTTTCCTATCTAAGAATCCTTGAACAAAAGCATACAAAATTCTTATATTGCTGACAGCTACACTCACAGATGAATATTATAGCACTTTCTCTACATTTTTATCCTATGGCCCATAGAGTCTTACAGTTGCTGGTGTTTATCTGATATGTTCATACCGCTAATGACCTTAGCTGTTGACGCGGCAGATAATTTTAAATAATCAATCAATCTGATATGTTCATATATGACACTTTTTATGTAAAACAAATGGAAGTAACAAAAACTAGTGCTAATTTTATTCTCAGGTATGATTTTTTATAGATTTTTTTTAAAAAGTGTTATAAGTTATTCACCTCTTAAAATAGAACAGGATTTCACGTTATGGTGGGGAGCAGGCACTGTATTTCTGGATAAAGATTCATACTGTTTTTTAAATATTTCAGACTTGTATGCTGAATTACATAACTAACTTTATTTCAGACCAGGAAGTTCATAAGCTTCATTTTAAACACATGTAATGATTTTATTTCCTCTCCCTTCCCAACAGTAAAATCTTACCTGGACATTACTTTCTCTTCCCAGAATTTGTTGCTCTGTGCCACCCAGTCACTTTTCTTGTGTGACTCCTCTGGCGCGCAGAAGGCATCTCCAACACTAGGAAGCGGACAACCGTTGCCTGCTGACCCCAAGATCAACCCTCCGTCATTCACCTTCATCCAGGCCTGGCAGTTCTTGGCTTTGGCCGTTTCTCTCTTCGTGCCTAAAAATAATAAACTTCTGTGGTACCTCAAACTTCATCTTCAAAGGAATGCTGATACAAAGTAAGCCTTTAGAGTGTCTAACACAAATGTTGCTATTGTTATCATTATATGATCAGTTTGGGAACTTATCGTTTTTATGTGATATATAAAGTTCAAATTATTTATTTGATTTGGTGTTTCATGCCAAAGTGTTAAATGCCCAAATAACATTATTCATGAATAGCATTTTAGAAATTATATATCTGTTCATGAAATAAAGTGTTATATTTACTAAATGGCTTTGGTTTCGTCTGTAGGTCTGAAGTTGGCAAATATGCAGCTTACTGTCAACGAGCTTTAGAAAGAACCCTCGAGAACGGGGGCCGTGAAGCAAAGCCATCTAGAATGGAGGTCCTGTCTATCTTACTCAAGAACCCTTACCACCACTCTCTACCCCATGCCATACCCGTCCACTTTATCAACGGAACTTACCAGGTATGAAGGAAGGGATTTTGTTCTCACCCTCAACTTTTTGGGAAGAGGGGGGAAAGGTCCCGGGAATAGATTGACTGTAGTCAGGTTCAGGATGGGAAAATTTTATTCAAAGCTCTGTAATAAAGAAATGTAAATATTTGTGGTTAAAACATTTTGCTATCTTTCACTTTGTTAGATACCAGAATGCAAAGACCAGAACAAAACTATGTTATGTAATGTGTACCCAGTAGAATGGAAAAAAAGGGAGGAGCAAAGACTGTAATAGAAAAATGAAAAGAAATGATAATGGTGAAATTACTTTTGCCATCTTTGAACTAAGTAACAGTTACACATCATTACAAAAGTTTTGTATATCATCCTTTTAGGGTTAAGGTTCTTCATTCTTGGAACTAAATAAGCTTTAACTTATAAGTGACATTGTGAATATTCCTCAGGTCATTGGATTTGATGGGTCCACCACCATTGATGAATTCTTGATATCACTGAACCAAGAGATTGGTTGTCGTGATGTCCACCAGTCTGGGTTTGCATTATTCTCAGATGATCCCATTGAGAAAGACTTAGAGCACTGTCTCAATCATAATGCGAAGGTATGGATAACACTTTAGTATTTTTAAAGAAAATTGTTGTCATATATTAAAATGCTTGTATGTTATTAAATGTTATTTAGATATACTTTTTATTATTTCACTTTCAGAAGAGGACTTAAACCTTATCTGTAACATAGGTATACTGTGGCATTCCAAAGGCTTTTTTTCTTTCTTTCTTTCTTTCTTTGTAATATACCTTTATTCTTATTTCAGCTCTGTGATGTTATTTCAAAATGGGAGACTGCCCTCAGAGAGAAGGGATCGGGCAAGTTTGAGAACACCAAAGTTATTCGCCTTCTCTACAAGTAAGGAGATTACCTATACTATGTGTAGAATGATTAATAAGTTAAAAGTTTTGTCGTTGTAATTGCAAGTATAATATAGAGGAAAGACACAAGTTAGATAATAACTCTTGTTTACTCAGGTCTCGCCTGTATTGTCGTGCTGCTGCAAAACATGAAACAGACCGAGAGAAACTGTTGCTTTGCTACCAAGTCAACCAGCAGATTCAGCAAGGCAAATTCCCCATCACCAGAGAACTTGCTTTAGAACTGGCAACCCTCATGGCCCAAGTATGTAATTTCTACTGTAGTAGTTGAATGTAATTGTATATGTATTAACTATTTTTTTCATTGTTTAACACCATTTGAAGTTTATGGAAGAAAAACAGTAAATATTTGTCAGGATTATCTTGATGTAATGAGAATGGGCAGTTTTTTTGTAAAATCTGTGATATTTCAGAAAAAGGGTTCTTAAGTATATTTTACCATTTTATATATATCCAAATTCATTATTTTTAGAGATTTATAGGTACATGAGAAAATATCAGATAGTGAATTTTGACTTGTCTTATACTAGAATAAAAAATTGTGAGTGAAGTCTTTCCTATATTCCAAATCTAAGTAAAGTTTAGTGTTCATTAAGCAGAAGCTGATATTGATACAATATATCTATCAGATTGACATGGGTGAAGTTAACAGTGAAAGAACAAGAGGGTCTGGCTCATCAGGTCCTTCCTCAGCACACATCCAGCAGGCATTCAGCAAGTTCTATCCTGCAAGATACCGAGAGGACCTGAATGAAGAAGAAACAAAGTAAGTATACTGTTGTCAGTGATAGGAATTTAGTGGTTGTAAGTGTGAAGAAGAATCTCATTTATAATTCAGTGTTGCCTAGAGGTATTACATATTTTTTTCACCCAGAAATACAATTTGCTTTGTGGATTTTCAGAACTGTGCTTGATAGCTTGCAAGAAAAATGGATTGGATTACGAGGAAGAACACAAGGTGACTGCGTCCGCATATATTTAACATGTACACGGAAATGGCCATATTTTGGAGCCACTCTGTTTCCTGCAGCTACACCGTCCCCAGAGGGACCTCCAACTCCTGTGTGGGTGGCTGTCAGTGAAGATGCCATTACCTTACTGGACCAAAGTAGTATGGCATCCATCGTCAGGTACAGAAAGATGTGATTTTTTTTTCCCCCCCAGACATATTTTTATGTTCATGAAAGGTTTAATTTTATTTTGTTTCATGAAATTTCTTTTCTTTCACTTGATGATAGATTAGATGATTAAACTACATTTCAGTTGATATGATTTTTTATTGTCATTCAGAGACCAAGACCCATAGAAGATAGTCTAATTTTTCCTTATCATCAACTGATTAACTCAAAGCCAATGGGCATGGCATGTAAGTACATGCCATGGCCACTGTAAGTTTACTTTATTAATTGTTTTTACACATAGATGGCCATACTTGTACCAAGTCACCAATGAGCCAATTACAAGTACTACCTGTCTCACCTGTTTACCCTTTTCCATGATTTTCAATAACATTATAGCAATTATAATATCTTTAATAAAGATAACCATCAATATTTATAACATTAGCAAAAAAAAAAGGTTTTTCCTGCCAATTCAAGGAAAGGTGAAATCAGGTAAGATCACAAGGTTTGCTAATTGACTCCTTTGTGGCTAAGCACTTGCAGAGCCATATATGTGAAGAGACATTTCACAAAAAAAAAATAATAATAATAATGAACACAGCATTTTCCCGGCAGCATTAAATAACCATAGAAAATTATCTTTTAAATTTTTCCCCCTTTTCTTTCCATTGTTAATAAGCTGTTTTAATTTATAATCATTGTTTTCCTTCTTAGAAATCCTTTGGATGAAGTATTAGATAATTAAATAACTTTTTGCATCCAGTCTAAGAAAAATAATATTCTGTACAAGGAATGTGCACCAGAATCATAAACTATATTTTAACTCTTGTCATTATCATCATAATGGAAGCAATAAATAAGTTTCTTGTTACAAGATGGTATAACTAACAGCTTAATAAACTACCAGATATCTGTCCCTAAAGGCTGCATGATATGAGAAGATGAATTTTACCAGTACAGTACACAACACAGGTATACTTTTCTTTAACAAACTGACACAGAAAATTGGGTCTCCAGGTATGGGTATAGTTCTGTGGTGACATTTGGCGGCTGTCAGGAGGACTTCATGCTGGTAGTCCACACACCAGAGGAGGACGGCTCTCACCATCCCCCTGGGACGCACAAACTACTCTTGTGCATGAATAAACCAAAGGTAATGAGAAGCTTCTGCACTCTTAATGTGGTTTGTGCTGGTATGTGCTTGTGTGCAATGCAGAGACAGGTTTTTATTTTACAAGGCTGCAAAATGTTCTTTGATTGTATCCTCACTGATTAACCAAGGATTTGTTAAAGGTAAGAGAGTTCTGATATAAGCTATTTAGGTAAATGTTTATAGTCCAGGACTGTTGCATGAGATGAAATTGACACATAAAGATAATATAATAGGAAGATGTTCTTTTCTGATTTAAAGAAAACTACTTTCTGTATTTGTTAGTATTAACATTGGATATATTGTCACTCTTCAGCCAGGAGGGATGCCTTAAACAGAGCATGATTTCTGTGTGTAAATGGTATGCAGAATTTTTGTATATAGACCTTTATTAATTGGTGATCTAAATATCTACCTTTTTTCTTTTAATTGATAAATCACAGCACTTGGAAATCAAAACAAATCACAGTTACTCCTGGAAATGCTTGATAAGCTGTTGTCATCTTTCTATGTACAATGTTTACTAAAATACACCTTTTTTAAGCAAACAAAGGTTGTTTACTGTGTAGACTCATTTCAGATATCAATTTCTTTGGAATTTTTATTTTTTGTCATATTTTATATTTACAATTCAGTCTTTCAGTAGTTTAGTTCATATCAAGTTTATTATTGATGTTTGTATTTCTATTAGTTATGTGATTTCCCGGTAAAATGAAAAAGGGAAAGACACTCAAACAAAGAATCAAAACTACCAGCATCCAGGTCAGGCATATTTCCAACAGAATAATAACATTGCACAAACAGATGTTCTTTCCTTTTCATGAGTGTATACAAGGTTTAAAAGAACTGATTACTACACAAGCAGTAAGAAACTTCTAAGTGATTTTTCTTTCTTTTTTTCTTTTTATTCACAGATCTTAGAATTGACTCTACTTATTGCTGACTACATGAATGCTCTTGGTCGGCCAGTACCAGGAACTCCCCAGACAGGAACGCTAACTCGTCACGGTTCAAGAAGGTCAGCTCGTTCTCACATGACTTCAGTGCCGGGACAGCCTGACTTACTAAAAATGACAACTGAAGTAGATAGCAAACTTCAACGCTTAGATGCCAAAAGGAGGGCACAAGTAGACTCCTCTGTTGTCTGACCCGCAGTGCATGCTAGGTCATCCTGAGTAAGGTTTATGCTCGGCCCAACTGCTACACTGTGATAGACGTGTCACTTTTACAGTTGTTCCCAGTTAAAGGAGGTTTTTCAATAATGTGTTTTCCTTTGCTTTGTTAAGGAAGCTATGTTTTATTGAAGAAATCTTTTTTTGAAAGGAATGGTACAGCAAGGCATCTCCAAGATACTGGAGAAGGTGTGAAGCAAACGGTTGTGTATGGCGCACAAAAAAGTAAAATTATGAATTGGAGAGTCTGCTGTATGGCCGAGCATAGTTCATATAATGTGCTTTCTGTATATATATATTTTTTATTTTTTAGTACAGACAATATTTTAAATTAATGACCTCACCTGTAAAGAATGGATAACGAAGATGGGTGATCAAATTAAAAGAGAGAAGCATTTATCAGGGCACTTTATCGATGTTTCTTCCATGGCGAAAAAATCCCTGAGTAAGGTTTATGCTCGGCCCAACTGCTACACTGTGATAGACGTGTCACTTTTACAGTTGTTCCCAGTTAAAGGAGGTTTTTCAATAATGTGTTTTCCTTTGCTTTGTTAAGGAAGCTATGTTTTATTGAAGAAATCTTTTTTTGAAAGGAATGGTACAGCAAGGCATCTCCAAGATACTGGAGAAGGTGTGAAGCAAACGGTTGTGTATGGCGCACAAAAAAGTAAAATTATGAATTGGAGAGTCTGCTGTATGGCCGAGCATAGTTCATATAATGTGCTTTCTGTATATATATATTTTTTATTTTTTAGTACAGACAATATTTTAAATTAATGACCTCACCTGTAAAGAATGGATAACGAAGATGGGTGATCAAATTAAAAGAGAGAAGCATTTATCAGGGCACTTTATCGATGTTTCTTCCATGGCGAAAAAACATCTAATCAAGTCCTATAATTAATCATGTGCCTTATGCTGCACTTTAAATCCATGAAAGTCATCATTTTTGAATAGGTTATGTATGGCCGAGATTATTTGAAGGCTTACAATGGCAGCTGTAAGTCCTTTTTTTTTTTTAATATATGAAAAGGGATTAGTCAAAAATGCTTTAAAGCCCTAGTCTGTGGTATTTCTAGTCTACAGAAAGCAGAAAGAAAATCAATAATTGGAAAGGTTTATGGAAATTTATGAAAGTAAATAAAAGTTGATCTTAGGTAGTATTTAAGACTTCCTAAAAGTCATGAGAGTAAAGTATTGGCAAGGTAGTTTTCATACTATATGAAGACAGATGGATTATGAAGATTCAGATAATTTATTGATAATTTGCCCAAATATGCCCCCTTTTACATTTACAATATCACATGGAAAAGGTAAATTCTAATTTATTTAGAACTTTAGTTGACATATGGAGAGAATGAGTTTAGTATAACTGGACAATCTGCAGTCACACACTTGAACATTGAATGGTGATTATAAGGCAACGAAAAGTCCTCTTTTTTTGTGTAAAGGATAGTAAGTGACGTTGCACATGTAAAAATATCTACATTCATGTTATTCATCTTATATTCTTTATGATCAGTGAAAAATTTGTGTATGTAGAGCTTGTCATGTACCATGTATTTTTCATTGTGCTATTGATCAAAGGTGCCATAACTGCTAGTCAGAATGTATAAACTGAGTCATGTAGAACACCAAATCTGATAAAAAGTATGCCTTCCAGGATTTTATGATTAAGGACAAGTATGAAATTTCATGCTGTGTGTATATATAACTTGACTTATCAATATGTGGTAGCCACATATTTTAAACAAGCAAATGTCACATTGCACATTGTTAAACATGTGTCCAGTTACTATAAGCAGGTTGACTTAACCTGTAGAGGGACACACAAAACAAAAATGTCTAAAGTTAGTCTCATGACTCACGTAGCAATGGACTGACAACTTATCTTCTATACCTTTAGCTAGATTATGTAAATAGTGCTTTCCTTTTATATTTCCATTTTGTGAGAATTTTGTATGTAATCTGCATAACCCCAATGTGGTATGATAAGAGAGTTTTGGGAATGTTCCTGCTATGCCTTACACACATCTCCACAATGTATTAATGCTCACCTATATGTAAAGATATACTTGTGCTCATACAAACCCACCCCAGTTTTATGTTAATACAGTTGCTCTCTTGTCCTTTAAATTTCATAGGCCTTATCCCCCCAAATATATCTTTGTTGTTTCCACAAAGAAAATTGTATGAAAAGAGCTTTTCCATCCATACAACTAAACAGAAAAGTGTTAACTCTATATTGGCACTTATCTACATAAGTTTGAACTTATGAAAACACAGTTTTTCATATCTATATATGTAATTATTCCCCATATACATACATGCACACACAAACAAACATGCACATATACATATACATGTACACACACACACACACACACACACACACACACACACACACACACACACACACACACACACACACACACACACACACACACACACACACACACACACACACACACATGTATGTATGTATGTAGACACACACATACACACTCACACGCACATGTACACACACTCGCACACGCACACTCACGCTCACACTCACACTCACACTCACACTCACACTCACACTCACACTCACACTCACACTCACACTCACACTCACACTCACACTCACACACACACACACACACACACACACACACACACACACACACACACACACACACACACATATACATACATACATACAAAACCCATAGATCTCAAATAGGATAAAATCATAACTGTATCTCATACGAATATCACGGTATTATTATGATCATAACACTACTCATGGTCTGCTGTTATGTTCAGGGGGTTGAATGTAGAAGTGTTAGGTCAGTATATGAGAAGTAATTTCACTATCATTGCTAAAAGTTTTGCATTTTATGGTGTTTCAATATTATTTTCATATATTTAGATTTTTGAAAAGAAAGTGTTGAAAAGCATTGGACATAGCCCATAGGAATGGGAGAGCTGCATGTTTAGAGAAGTAACAGTTTTGTAACAGATCTAGAATAAAATGGAATTTAGATAAAGTGTG